GGCACCGAGGGCTCTTTGGTGACTTGGGCTGCCTGCTCTTTGGATTACACTTCAGCAAGTGTCTGCTCCATCACTGTGCTTACCTAGCGGGTAAAGACTTTATTTCCTGCTGCCTTTTCATCTTAAAATCTGTTATTGGCAGGATGCTGTAGCCAAAGGTGGCAGGACAAATGCTCCTCTCTCTTTTCCAGGGAAAAACGCAGCAGAGCAGTGGTACATCTGCTAGAAAGCCCCGAGCGGAGGCTCTGCAGCCCCGTGCTGGGCACTCTGCTGGGTAGCGCCCGTGCCCCCGAGCGAGCCCGGCTCCGCTGCGGGCGCCTCGTGCCCGGGGCCGGGGGCAGAGCTGCCGCGCCRGGAGCTGCTCCCCAGGGTCCCGCTTTGTCCGCGGCTGAATCGCTCCAACCAGTTGTAGATAACCAAAAGGGATCCTGTGGATCACTGTTCCTGGTTACAAGGTTTAGGGGTTGCCCYTGGGGCAAATAAATAGAAGGAAATGCCCCAAGGTTTCACTTATTTCCAGTTAGCTGGTGTTCGCCTTGAAGCAAAAGCAGACACAAGTCAAGCTCTGAAAAACTTGTACYTGAGCTTTTTGCCATTTAACCAAATAGTTTATTGGTAAAGTTAGGCAGGCGATGTTAGATGTGCTTAACCCTATTCTCCTGCTCTTTGCAAGGTTAACGCCCAGCGGGTGGTAGTTTGCAGGCAGCTGAGGACATTTAGCTTTTGAAGGTAACCAGGCTGCAGGGTGGRTTGCCTGCGCCCAGACCAGGGTGTTTGTCACCTGTCCCAAGGGAAAGTACCGCTGGTCCCACACCTTGTCTGAGCTCGGGGTGACCGTCGGCTCTGCGAGGTGGCGGCAGCCGCTGCAGGGCAGCTTGGTGCAGTGGGTGCCGGGCTCAAGGGTTCCGATGGTCGGAACCAGAGTTCTGCTTTCRTGGCTTATCTGAAACGAAGCGACCCCCCCCGCGTCCGCAGCACTGGCAGAGCCTCTTGCCGGGAGTTTTATTGCAAAGCAGGGATTGTAGTAAGACCTGTATTTGGGAATGCAGAAGGTTAATTTTTCACTCTGTAGTTAGATGTTAACTCTGTCCTTCCTCATGCTAGGTTGTCTAATTAAAATAAAGCAAGTTATGAATAATAATTTATAGAAGAGTGGAAGGTTTGGAGGYCCCTATAGAAAGTAGAGAGTTCTCAGCACCATAGTCCAATCTGAGTAATGAATGGGSATGCTGCAGATGGTGTAGGAATGTATATTTTTAAGAGAAGAARCGAAGACTTAAGACTCTTAAATTCTCTCTGTATTTTATATTGGTGGGAAAAGGGGGAAAAAAAAAAAAAAACCACCCTGGAACAGTCTGTTGGATACTTTTCCCGGTATGTTAACCATTAGCTACCTCTTAAATAATAGAATAGATTTTGTTCCAGTGTTACATGTACCTCATCTTGGGAATGCCACTGGAAGGTTGTCTGCCTTTGGTGAGGAACAGGCTAAAATTAGACTGATGCTCTTTTGTGTGTCCTCTCAGCTGATTCTTTGAAAAGAGGATTTTTTAAAGATCATGCCTGTAGTTGAAGGAGTTAAGGTTTGATATCAACATCTTATAGAAATCATATTTTCCTGCAGTGTTTCTCTAAAAGTGCTTTACATGCACTAAATCCTTCTCACCCAAACAAGTTTTTCTCAGAACTGTTGGCCTTTTTCCTAATTTGTTTGTTTGCTAATATCCATAGCCATAAATTTTGATAGAATACGAATGATCGTCATGTTGGAAAGTGGCTTTYTTCAAATCACTTATCTCTTTAGTTTTCTCCCCTTCTGCTTTTCTCGCTGCTCTTAGGTCATACTCTGAGCGTGTTTATTTTCTCTTCCCCCACACGTGCGCCATGGCCAGACTATTTTCAGTCTCCATCGTTTTTCTCTCAGATGAGAAGATCAACGACAGGGAGGTGAGCGGACGGAGGGCGTCTCCGTGTGAAGCTCTGGGCAGGCTGGAGCTCCCTGCCTTGGGAAATGGCCAGCTGGAGTTCAATTCAAAGGGAATTGTGTGTGCAGTTTGCAGTGAATGCAGTTAAGTCTATTGCATTTTCTGCAATGCTCGTCTGGGCTCTGTGAGGAATTGCAGAGTCTTTCTCCTGCTCAAATTTGTTTTGCTGATTACTTTTCTTTCCATCTGCGTATTTCAAACAGAGGTTAGATTAAACCAATGTTAGTTGGTTAAATTAAGCTTGATGTGAAGAAGATGATGTTTTCCAAAACCCTTCTATAGCCTGTGTATTTGTAGCTTGTTTAATTGGTCCATTCCGTGCAGGATCAGTAAAAGCAGTGTCCTTTGCTATTACATCGTTTTGAAAAGGGAAGGAGGCAGCGTCTTGTTGGAAGCAGTTTTATCCCCAGCTCCAGCAAACCGAAGGATCTCCCTGTTTTCATCCATGAAAGACCCTTTTGTAAGTGAATGTTATCTCGGTGGGGTCTGAATGAGCGCTGTGCGCTCCAGCACGAGGGTTGTTTGTCTTGAACAACTTTTTTGTTCTCTCTGCTGAGAGCAGATCCTTCCTGAAACAGACCTGGGCTTTTATTTCAACACTGGAAAAAAACCTGTATGCCTAAGTCTGCCAGATACGATGGTCTCGAGTCCACCTGCAGCCTGCATTTGATCATTTGCTTTTAGCTGCCTATCTAGCCTTTTATTTTATTAGGTGGTGATTTTTTTTTTCATTCTTTGAATACTGACTATTGGGAAGAAAAAAAACCTGGTGGCCTCGTGTAATTCCCCTCTTGCTCTTTCCTTTCCACTCCTCCCAGTATTCACAGATGTATTCGCYTTCTCTCTTTCCCTCCCGTGTTGGCTGCGTATTAGCTGACATCTCTGTTGTCCCTTGCTTTTCAGTTGCTCTCTTCTCCCCTTTCACCACCTAATCAYTCTCCATCTTCCTCTGAACTCCTGACATCTCATCTGACCTTTTTGAGGCAGACCAGGTGACAAGAAACTTAACCCTGAAGCAATTTGTCAGGTTGTCACCGGATGGCTCCTTCCCTGCCAGCCGTTAAACACTTCCCTGCTCTGTTGGGCTCCTGCTGCCTTGGTAATTGGCCTGGGAGCTTCGCTGCCTGCCCGCTCCTCAGGGTCCCTTGGGTGCTCACAGGGGCACAGCACAGCATGCCAGGCGTGGACCACTTTGCACAGGGACRGGTCTCGCAAATCCCCTTCCAGACCAGTGGAAGGAAAAAGTAGCATTTTTGCTGTGTCCCCTCACCCGTTTCACGGTTGTGGTTTAGGTGAAGCCCCGCTTGTCCGTCYGTGCCAGCCTAGGGGCTGTAGGAGCAAACGGCGTTACTGGCGGTGCCTGCTGCGGCTGTGCTGGTCTGTGGCAGCCCTTGGCCGTGCCGAGCGGGAGCGCGGGGACGGTTCCTGTCCCTGTCCTCCCCAGGGGCCCGAGCCCCTGTGCGGCCTCACCCCGAGCACCGCGAGTGGGACTGAGGACTGACAGCTATTCCCGACCTAGCATGGGGCAGAACTTTTGTCTTCAGCAGTCTTGTAGCCTAAGAATATATATATRTTCTTTTATATATATATATACATAAAAGAGAAAAACATGCTTGAGATTGAGCAWTACTTGCTGTTTGTTCTAAGAGGATGCTATCTAACATTCAGGTGACTTGTGGTTGAACGCATAATGTTATGCTGTCATACGTAAATGTATAAATAAGGGATTTCTTCTGCCTGAGGAAGAGGCATGCAAAAAAAAAAATGGGGAGGGCAAAAAATCTAAGGATCTTTTTAAAAGCTGCTTCTTAATGAGATGCRTAGGTGAAGAGCTGGCCCGGGCGTCGCTTGCTAAGCCGGCCAGGGCTCGGGAACRTACCCAGCTTTGGAAGGGAAGCCCTTGGCGGAGGCAGCGCGCGGCTGCAGCCGCTCTGCGCGAGCACAGAGGGGTTGGGGCCGTGGTGAGGCCGGCGCCGGGGCCGCCGTGTCCGCCCGTCCCGCCGGGGATCGCGGCCATGCAGTGTCCTGGGACCGCAGGCTGCTCAGTGTCCTGGGCAGCGCGGTGCCCGGGCGGCCGCTGGCTGTCCGCGGCTGGCACCGGGCACCGGCACCGCCTCCCGGTCGAGGCTCGCCGGGCGGCACTGCGTGGTGTCAGCGGTGCCGCGGGCGCTGCGGGCCCGTGATGGGCGCCCGGTGAGCGGGTTGCTATGGAAATCAGCATTAGTTCGGATTTCAGGTGTGTGCTTTTCTTCCTCTCCACGCCAGGGGGAATACGAGAGTTTGTGCCCATAGTTGTCGAGGAATAATGATGGGGGTGGAAAGAGGAGAAAGTGACCCAGGGCGCACAGCGAGACCTTCACGTGGGTGAATTCCAGCCCGAATCCCATTTCTGGGGTGCGTTGGTGGCCCGGTGCGGCTGAGGGGAGCGCAGAGCCTTCCCGCAGCAGTTCGCTCCGCGTGTGCGGTGCTGCCCTGTGCCCGGCCGCCSGTCCCCGCAGCGCGAGCGCCCAGGGAGGGCACCGTGCGAGTGCACCGTCCGTCCAGCCGCGTCCAGCCCATCCCTGCGCTTTGCTTCAGAACGGGCAGCCTTGGCACGCGAGCCTGCGCGGCAGCAGAGCACTGCAAACGATGAAAGAGYGCAGCGTGCCGCGGCTTTTAGAGGACACTTGTGTTATCTGAGGAGCTTATTAACTACTCATTTAATATTTATATCGCTCTGCTAAGAGCTATTATGGGGGGAGATGGTTCCGCTCTCTCATATAGAGACTTGGGCAGTGACCAGCTCTGTCGGCGGCGCGGATCCCGTGTTGGCCCCGTGCTGTGCAGTGTCCTTAGCAGCAGCAGCAACTGGGCTGTCGGGTGCACTGGGGCTGCTGCCCAAGGCCAGGCTCTTGTGGAGCCTGGGTCCAYGGGCGCATACCTGGGGCCATTCTAGCGTGCTGTTTGTCGTCTACAGTCTGTTCAGATTAGTTTTGATTCAGTCTGTTCAGATTAGTTCCCTCCCACAGCAGTTTTCAACACGCCTTCAGCTCGTATTGTGCCTTGAGCCGACAGGACGGAATCTATGTGGAAATGTGGATCTCTAGAAATAGATGCAGGTAACGTAAGCTCCAGGATAACCAAGTGGGGTGCTAAATAGCTAGGACATGAATGGGGCACATGCACTGGAATTATCCAATCTGCTGTATTAGGTCAATTAAGAAAACACCAAACTACTCAGCAAAGTGACTAAGCAAGTGTCACCGAGGGACACGTGGGAGTCGTGTGGGTTGTTGTCCCTGGTGGCAGTTGGAGGGGATGAGCTGCACRTGTGTAGATGGTTTCTGATGGTTTCTTGTGCAGCGTGGCCCTTCTGCCCACTCGCCAGGTGTTCGGGTTCCTTCAGCTCTCCTCATCCTGATATGCTGCTGTGAAGGGCAGTGGTGGCAGCAGTTCAAGTTCAGGTGTTCATGGGCTTACTCATTTCTGCAGCCCATTAGAGACTTCCTACGTCAAGGGAATAGGATGCTGCTTTGGTCCATCACGTGAGCATTTATAATTACATATAGCAGAAAGTTAATGAAGGACTTATTGTGCCTCATGGCTTTGAATTGGGTTTGAAAGCGGAGTCAATGTTCTAAGCTCCTCATGGAGACCTAGTTTTGAATGTGATTTTGCTGACGTTAAATTTATGGAGAGCTGTTTTCCCCCACCTGCAACATGAACTCATTCCTTCTCCTTTAGGAAAGGATTTTGGAGCGCCAGCAGGATGAGCTCCGAGCGGGACTCGGAGACCACCTTGGACGAGGATTCGCAGCCCAACGACGAGGTGGTGCCGTACAGCGACGACGAGACGGAGGATGAGCTGGACGGCCCGCAGCCTGCGGCCGAACCGGAGCAAAACCGCATCAACCGAGAGGCTGAGGAGAAGCGAGAGGTGCTTAAAAAAGGTGATGTTGTCAGAGGAGCTTCGTTTGGATGGAAAAGAGTTCTGAGCTCATACACTGAGCTGTGCACGGGTCAATTTGGGTTTTGTACTTTGTTTGATAGAGTGGGTTTGCAATGGATAGCTTACATAAATTGCAGAGGAGGAAGGATGGTAATTCAGTTTAACACAGGTCAGTAAGAGTATCAACTTATTCTAAACTGTATGCATAAAACTGATGGTGTGTACAGTGATGTGCTCTTAATCGAGGCAAGTGCTTACTGCAGACTGTGGGTGGTTTGAGAGTTGCTCGAGGTAGCGTCAGTCACTTGTCCTCCCCGTGAGCTGTAARTGGGAGCCAGCACAACCAGCTCGCTCTGCTCAGGCCTTTGCTTTCCTTTCTGCACCTCTTACACAAGGGAGATTTCAGCTGCCTTCTAGCCTCATGACTTTCTGTATTTGTAGTAGTTACAGAGTAATAGAAAGTCAGGGTGAGAAGGTACCTGAATGCGCCAGGAAGAGCCTGTGTGCTGCCACCAAAATGCGAACCTGAAGGAGAGGAGTCTCTTTGGCCTGGCTTAGTCCTGCAGTCTGCAACTTTCCTGTTTTTTTTTGTCCTTGCAGTTACTTTTTACTTTACTACCTGATACATATGTAAGGATTTCTTTCTTTCTGTTTATGTGCCAGTGGGCGACAACTGATGACCTTTTGTTTTATAACCATCCATTACATATTCATAGCCTTTTTTTTTTTTTTTTTTTTTTTTTTTTTTAAGTGAGGTGATCTAGCCTATTGAATAAACACAACTTGTTTAGTTTTTCATCACCTGACCAGGCTTCTTATTATGGCTGTTTTCTTCTTTTCCTTTCTTTATTTTGTAGATACAGTACACATTAAAGGAAAAAAAAAAAAGGAAGAAAACAGAACCTCCTACACATTTGATTTCTCTTTCAGAAGTCTAACAAGCTCCTTTTCCTTATCCAAATAAAATTAGGGAGAGTCTGAAGTCAGTGAGATGAATTTTGATTCCACCTCCAAAGTTCAGTCTAACTGTAAAACTCTTTTGTCTCTACAGTTAATCTGATACCAAATTATTATCCAAAATAAGGAAGAGAGTTAGGGAGATGGCAGATTCCCCCTGAGCTCCCAGACTGGTCAAAAGCTTGAAGGAAGGAGGAGCTTTTTGCCATACAAGCCCAATAAGCCACTATCCTAATTATAGGAGTTTAGGGGCAGTCGGCAAATCTTTTTTTTTCTTTTCTTTAGATTTTTTTTAATGTTCTTTTCTCTCTTCTCTCATTACTAGATAATTTTCTGGCATAAATTCATAAATGGCAGAATTTGTAGCCCTGTTGACTGTTCAGTGCCTAATTATCTTTAGGTAACACAGCAAAAATAGCAGCCTCTTCATTCAGCCAAAATGATCTTCCCTTCATCTTCCTTTGAGGATGATGAATTATTGATCCACMTTCCCAAATATTGGTTTAATACAGCTTTTAAGTAGTCTGAAGTAATTTTGTAGGTTTTTCTCCATGGAGGTTTTATTTTAAACCTAATTATCTGGCTCTTGATTTGAGGTGCTGAGGTTTATCAATGTCACAACTTTTTTATAAATGAACATTTTAAAGAAATAGCCTTGTAGCAGTTTCTAATATTCGTCCGTTCTGCCATTTTGGTAAAGTGTAATCGTTTTTCAATTTGCACACTTCAGCAGTGTGTGCTCTTTCCTTGGAAATCCACACCTGGTCCCCTTGCCGTTCTGATGTGAATCAGGCAAGAGCCAAAAGTGCCACCAGGTGCCGGGGCTTGCGCCAGCGATGGAAGGGGCACCCAGGGCATCTTCCTGGTGTGTTTTCATGGCACGGTTTAACACCGGTGCTGCCGCGGGGCCAGGCTTTGTGCCGCGGGTGTGGGGCTTGGGCAGGAGCTCTGCAGCAGCAGCGGGTCACCCCAAAGTGCAGCAATGCAAGTTTGGGTCACCCCAAAGTGCAGCAGTGCAGTGGGGAGCAAAGTCGTGCAGCGGGAGCAGAGATCTGGCTCCTAGGTGTGCCCAAAGGGAACCTGCTTTGCCTGTTGGATGGGGGGGAAACAAAAAGGTTGGCCTGGGCTGGGGGTTGTTTGCCAAGGCCTGGGCAGTCTGCGGTCTGCCCTGCAGCACAGACCTGCGCCCACGTTTCGTTGCTGGTGCCCAGACTGGCGCCCAGCCCTGCCGGCGCCCGCTGGAGCTGTCCCCTCGGTCAGCGCCCTGGAGGCTCCGCAGCGCTGGGCCCTGGGCTTGTGATGGGACCCGCAGCGCTGGGCTGGTGATGGGACCTTCTTGCTGGGCCCTGGGCTCGTGCAGACGGAACAGGCGCTGATGGGACCCTCAGCGCTGGGCCCGGGGCTCGT